GACAGGGAAGCAGACACTAAGAGGTTAAGTAACCTACTTGCCATCTCACAGCTAGAACTTTGCACAACCAGGATTCAAAACTAAAAGCTCACCTCCAGAACCTATACACTCTAATGGCTTTAGATGATATCTGATACTGTTTCTTTCACTTAAATTATATAATTTCATTGAAATCTTTTATAAAATCAGTTTACTATAGCCATGCGCGGGTGCACACACGCGCACAAAGTAACCTACTTGCCATCTCACAGCTAGAACTTTGCACAACCAGGATTCAAAACTAAAAGCTCACCTCCAGAACCTATACACTCTAATGGCTTTAGATGATATCTGATACTGTTTCTTTCACTTAAATTATATAATTTCATTGAAATCTTTTATAAAATCAGTTTACTATAGCCATGCGCGGGTGCACACACGCTCGCTCGCGCGCACACACACACACACCAGTTACAAAGATATACTAGCGCCATCTAGTGGCATTGTTAATCTCAGTCTACAGTGGAATACATACAGAGATGTTCAGTATTTGTATACGAAGTAAATAAAGATGCTATAAATATTTGGGAGGAACAGTGATCAAAGAAATATGACTAAAGATTAAATAAAAGACGTTTACAATGCCCAATTAATCTTCAGATTGAACATTTCTTTTATCTTTTAAATGTCAGTGAAAAAGGGGTTTTCTCTTTCCACATTTGCTCATTCATTTATTCTTTCACTTGTTTCTACATTTAATTATATATTATATATACTTCATATTCTGAAAATTTTGTATATTCAGCATTGTACTAGAGCTAAATGATGAATTTATAAAAATCTATGAGAAAGTTTATGTCCCGATAGACTTTGGGGGGAAATAAATGTGAATAATACAGTCATTAAATTCTAGTGTAACAAATGTGAAGAGAGAGCAGTGCTGGCAAAGAAATAATCAACTTCACTTAGAACTGAAGGAAGCCTCATAGAAGAGATGATAATTCTAACGTTTTTACCTTTCCATCAATTGCCAAGTACCATTATTGATCTATTTGCATTTAAACTTTCAAAGTACTGCCATTAAATTTGAATGTCCATAAATGCTACATTCACCACCTATATGTTATGTTCATTACCTTTCTGATATATAACTAGTGGCTTTCCATGCCCTACATGATAATATAAAGAAGACTATAAGGTCAAAACGGTTAATTTAAAATCCGGGCTCCATCACTTACTTGTTGAATTATATGGAACTTGCCACTTAAACTCTATGTGCCACAGTTTTCTCATCTATATAGTGTGATAATTCTAGTTTCTAACTCATAAAGTTGATGTAATGAATTATTACAGTTATTCTAATACTCTGAATTCTGTCCAACAGATAGTTAACAAATAATATTAGTGGGGACCCGTTCGAATTTCCATTATTAGGGCCTTTCCTCTCTGAACTAGAAGGGAATACTTGACATCCAAAGTCTCTTTTAAAATATTTAGGTTTCAAATCAATTCAGTTTATTCAGAGCTAGCTTATCCCTTTCATATGCACATTCTACTCTACCCAGACCAGCGCCTTCTCCATCCTTAAATATTCTCATCGATATCGCCTACGCCTTTACCTAATTAAATCCTACCTCTTCTTTGAAGGCTTAATTCATGTCAACAATTTCCGTAAACTCTCATTTTATTGATATTATTTTTTATGAATTTCTATAATTCTCTGAGTCTTAGTTCACTGCCCATAAGAGCCTTCGTTTTTGGCCTTTAATAATAATACTATTTGCTTTAAGTGTGTATGTACTGTTTTTTCCATTTCGGTGATGTTCACTTGGAGTAAAAGAACAAGCATCCCACCTCCAAAAAGGATATTATATTAAACTCACATAAATAACTTTACAAACTCTTCCTCTCTCCTAGAATTTCCACATGGCCCCCATCCCCAGTCCTGTTAAGGAATCATTACTTTAGGGCACAAATGTTAATGTGGGTTGTATAATTTTTCTAAGGTATATTAGTATGAAAAAATGCTAAAAACTGCTAAATTGAAGACATTTCATTCCCTTTAAATAGCTTTTTCAAAAAATTTTACTTGGGTGAATCCATTAAGAAATGTTTTATATCATAGATTTTAAAACAACAAAATAACAAACTGGAAATAATTTAAGAAAATAATTTTAAGGGCACAAGTCTTTTCTTATATAAGAGATGTCACATTTTGAAAATTTAAAAGGGATAGACTTTAAAGTTAAAATAGCTAATATTAATTAAGGTCCCTATCTCTTGGTGATGCATATTGAGAGAATCATTTCAAGAAGCCATAATTATTTGGTGAAGTAATGGAACATAGGCTTAGAGTTCCTTTGTCAGCAAACACCGCCCTGGTTCCCGAGTTCCCACAGGAGCAAAGGTCCACAATCATCACATAGTTCTGCACTGTAAGTCTAACTTAATATCAATCTTCTCCCCAAGTGGGTCTTTCAGTCTCTTCAGAGTGATTTACTCACACCACAAATGCAAACACACAGACACAGGATTAGCACCGACCATACACTGGCCTTTTACCAAC